CGGTAGATGGCGTTATGTTGTTCGTGAAAATAAGGTCTAGGATATTTGCGGATCTAGTGGGTGAATTTATGTGTTGTGTCCACCCTCCTGTGACGATGGAATTTATGAGATTATCGTACCTTTGGGGTCCTCGGAGTGAAGACCATGATACTTCTGGCAAGTTGAAATCGCCTCCGATAATTTTATAACTGAAAGGAAGATTGGCTGTAACATTAAAGATATTGCTAAGCATATTATCATATTCCCTGCTGGATGAAGGGGGCCGGTACACACAACCCACAAGTATAGGTTTACTTCTGACAACTTTTATTTCGACCCAGATCGAGTCATTGAGTTGTGACAGAATTGGGTTACTAAACTGGGTTGCACACATGGATTGTTCACAGTAAATTAGTGTTCCACCCCCACGACCTGTCCGTCTGTCCCCGCGAAAAAGGTTGTATTTATCAATCCTTAGGCTGTCATTGGAGATTTCACTTGTGCACCAGGCTTCGGTGATCATAATCAATGACGGTCTGCATATAGAAGCTATTGTACTTAGTGCTAAATGTTTGCTTAGAACTGATCTCGTATTTACTAGGATAATAGATAAACACTGGCTATGTGGTTTCAGTGAGCGGACAACATCTTGGTAAAATAATCCGTGAGTATCCTCTATATACATGTTATCAGACTCATTTACCAATATCTTTGGATCGTAGGAAGACTTCAGGTAGATTTTTGAGGTGGTAGTCAGGGATGGGCTTACGTTTGGATATGGTATGCAGTGAGAGACACCTGTGTGATAATCAGATATTAATATTTTAGAGATATTAGTATCCGCGTTTGGTGTCGACACTGTGTCAGCTATCTCCCGGGAAATATGCCTTGCCCTAGCTGTAGACTGTTCGCTATGCCAGCAAGGAATTGATCCGATATCATGCGTGCTATATGCATGATTCCAGGTGTTTCTGTTAACTGACGCTGGTGAAAATCCTGCCCTAAGGTATAACCGATATGTGTATTCGGTAATTTGTTGCCAGTATAAGAATGAAGTGTTGGTATCTGTTTCTGGTATTCATCAGACCATGGCAAGTTTTGTGCAGAAATCGGCACATGCTCCCCACTAGACACATAAGATATATGAATGGGTTCTGTTGGCTTGCTAAATGTGGTCTGTGGCCGATGTTTGGGGTATTTTCTATAACTTTCAGTAGACAGAATATTAGAAGTGGGCTGGTTGACAAGGGGTTTACGTAGTGGATGTGCAGAACAATACCTACTACTTTGCTGTGCTGTTTGTCTAGAATTAGGGATTCGATAAAATTGGCTTTCCACTTGGCACCAATTAGGCCTACCCCTAGGAGCTTCGTCTACCATATTTGACTTTCTCTTACAAAGAAGGCCTACAGGTGCTTTCGTCTCTTTCTTATCAAAGAGCTTTCTTGCTCCGGGTTTAGTATTTAATTTATTTACTTCTTTTTCCCCTATCTTATGATTATCTGGCTGATGATGGCTAACAGGGCAGTCAGCACATGCTATGTAGGGTTTCTGTGGCTTGAACACCTCATGAGCTTTAGTTTTCTTAATGGAAATGGGACGTTTGTCATAACGCCTAGAAAACTTGCCAACTTGGGTGGCTACATTCGACTGGTGCTTTACAGAGTGTGGATTGTCAGACAGAGGAGTAACTGACTTATAAGGCAATGGTTGGACCACCAGTGGGATGGGTTTTGATGGTTTCGGTGTCTTGACTTTTGCGTCAGTGTGAAAACGATGTATTTCAACATTATTTCCCGTTGACTCATCTATGTCCACCATTTCAGTGTCTGCATCAATATCGTTATATAATGCTTGGCTAACATTAGCCACTACCTGCGAAAATGTCTGTTGCATGCCGTGATCAGATATTTCAATAGACGGAATAACGCACGGAACATCATCTACAGTTATCCTATTAGAGTTATCAGGGTTCACTGTTCCTGAGCGGCATCGCCTTTGGCATGGTGTTAAATCAGGTGCAACCCTAATGTTAGTGTATGGTGTTGAAGAGCCTATTTTCTTACCCGATTTCAGAAAATTCCTGGCTTCTTCGGTAGACCTAAACTTGAAAAGCACAGGACACGGGTGGTTTGCAGATTTCTTACGAAGACGCAAGACCTGACATTCTGTCAACGACATATTACAAGCCTTTAGACACGAATTCTTAAGTTTGGCAATCGGCTCTCTGTCTGGAATGTTATAGGCCAAGACGTTATGTGAAGACATAATCCTCTTAACAGCTTCTTCAGCCAAATAGTCAATTATGCGCTCGGATTTGATTAGTGATTCAAAACAGATGTTTTGTGGTGGGTCACACAGTTGCGTGAGAGGCATAATGCTGTCAAACTTGCTCTGTAGTTCTGCTATTGACTTCTGAAGTGTCAGTAAATCATTTTTGCTACAAGCCGCATTCTCTGCTAATTCCTCCATGATATCAGATACCATAACTCTGGGTATGGCTGGTGTAAACAGTGTAGAATTGTCAACGGAGCTGAGGCCTTCAGATGGCTGACTAGTATTAGATCTCAGTCTCTTAACGGTACTTACACGTTTGATAGACTTAACCATTACAGAAATAAGAAACTTCACAATTTCCGGAAAAAAAGTCTTGAGGATATGAAAATAAGATAGCTGTATTATCGAAGTATCAAAACAACAACGATAAACAGATTTATATTGCAAAAATAAAAAGTCAGACTTTCCTTTACAGAGTTTGCTGTGGATAAAGTCCTGAGTTCCACGTAGTTAGATATGGTATCCGAGGATTCTTGACGTAGATTTCACGAGTGAATGCTATATGTTGTTCCAGTTGATACAATACAATCCTTGTTGACTATGGATAACTGGATAATGTGATGAAAGCGGCTAATTTCCAAAATATTAAGGAAAGATGATTCACGCAGAAAGTGAACACCCGTAGCGCAAACGTTCAAAATGAAATTACGTAAATAAAAATTATTATTATTATTAACGGTCTGGATCCAGTGTGGCTTACTCCAGCACATGTATATCACCTCTCTTCTTACATTCCATTAACGCAAAATTTCATAATTCCCTCATGAATCTGACTCACTATGAGTATATTAAATATTATAATTTAGACTTGAACCAAAACCTTATATTCTATTATTATAAAGTTTCTAGAGGTCATTTTACAAATTTTAATTTCATAAAACAGTGTTCAATTTCAGACTGCACTTGTCTAATATGATCATGCCTGTACAAACGGTATGTGAATCGTGTAAATGCTTAATTTATGTGAAAAAATATATATTATATTGTATTGAACCTAGGACTGAAATACTCACATAGTTATCATTTTCGGAACATATCTCCAAACAAGTGTCAAATTCACGCAGACTTATCGGCTTTCTACTCAGGAACTTCTACAGAAGTGAGTCCAGAATTCTGTTGTACAAGGTTTGTGTGCGTCCTTTATTTGATTACTGTTCATTCATGTATAGTAGTATAAGCAAAGAGGACAAATTGAAAGTTGAGGGAGTGCAGAGGTACTTCACCTCAAAATTACTCGAAACCGAAAATGGTGTGAACTACTCCACTTGATGTGATACCTTAGGACTAGAGGACGAATTACTTCAAAATAAAAATTATTAATAAATAAAATAAAAAATAAATGCTGCCTGTATGTCACAGCTTGCGTACAAACTCTTTGAAAAAATGGCTCATGGTACGATTTCTCTACTTCAGGAGGACATCTGACTGTATAAATCAGAACAACAGCATAAATCAGTATTAATATACTTCCTCTTTTCTTTTAAATAACTTATGTACTTTGGCATTTGGATTTCACTTCTTCAGTTACTATTCCCAACACTACCCTATATAAGAGTGAAAACCATAATTCGTTTCGCCCTAATTTTTACTTTATATTTATCTTAGACATGTCAAATTCTCCTTATCATAAAATCGCCAAATGGATTACAGAGGTCCTTACGCCTGTAAGAGACTCATTATCAAATCATTCTGTAAAAAGTTCATTTGATCTTACAGAAATAATAATAATAGTATATTCTCATTTTGTACATGAGGGACGCCAGTTTACAGGCATCATCAATATGATAAATTACATATACGATTAGCAATCATAATTAATAATAATGTTTTAATAAAATACACATTTTTTCCTACTTGTGTAGGACACACCAAATATACAGGCATGGATAAGCATTATATAAATTTCATAAATTTGGTTTATGGTTAAGTTACATGGTTGCTGGCGTTTTTGTCTTAGGTCTGTGGGAACAATATGATAACCAGTCATTCAATGGAGCACGTCATGAAATATAGGAATATTAACTTCGCATTAACAAAAAAACCCAAGTAAGTTTTGGATGGATTAAAAATACTTGGGAAAAAATAAAGCTTGAAGTAATTCCTCAATATAACTTGGGTGTGTACAAATCCGAATCTTATTTTTGATTTGATTTATATCCAAATTGGGTAATAAGGAAGCTATTTTTACAGATACGATCAGTTATGTTATAAGCTACAATCGTGACGTTGTATTACAAATAGATACTTTTCCATTGGTATAAGAGTATATTCCACAAATGTAATCCAGGTTGCGTCGTGGAGAAAGTTAATTCGTTATTAACCAGGCAACTGAAAGATACGGGACCAATAATGTTTGCAGATCATTTGTCATTGTAAATGGTCAAATATCCACATTATTCATTCTCATTCAAAAAGTCAAATGGAAGCTGAAATGGTGAGAGAAAAAAGAAGACAAACAACAGCAACGCAAAAGAAAGCAACGGGAGTCCTTAAGGAGTGATTAATAAATATATACATATATATTCTGTTTAGTAACTGTGGTTATTTTGGTACACAAACTAACTAGTCCCGTTATGCTAACTTTTATATTATGTGTAAACTAATATTACTGTCCTGTGTAGAAATGTTAATCATCTAGTTCCAATAATATTAAAATTTATAATTGTAGTTTGTTGTAACTACACGTTTAAAGAACTTAAAATATCTATGTAGGGTGAAAAAGAAGGTGTAAGAGTCAGGCGCAAAAGTGCATTGTCATCTTTGAGCAGTCTGGTGACTGAGGAGATGAACACTGGAAGTGTGTTTGCATCGCGCACATTAGCTGGTAGTCTATTCCAAATGACTGAAAACTTATTTAAGAAGAAGTTGTACCGCACGTAAGTCTGACAGTGCTCCATAGCAGCTAGGTTGTGATGATTTCTAAGATTGTAACTGATGACAGCGGTAGGTTTAGTTATTGGCTCGGAGGAATGCAAGAGAAGATTAGTTAGCTTATAGTAAAAGATAAGGTTTAGCTTAAGGCGTCTTTTCCAGAGGGGTTCTAATCTTAGTCTTTCGCATCGCTCATGGTATTCCAGACCACTTTCTAAACCAAGAGTTCTTGAGGTAAACTGCCGTTGCACTCCCTCTAATTTAAGCTTGTCATTTTGTCTTAGTCCGCTAAGAATAAACGGGCAGTATTCTAAGATAGGTCGGACACATACTTTGTATAATAAAACCCTAGTTTCACAACAAAAGAAATTGCGTGTTATGCATCCTATCAGCCTTCGCGTTTTACGTCTGGCATAATCAGTCTGTTCAGCGAACGTTAGGTTACTAGAGTATCTAATACCGAGATCTACGACTGAGTTGAGCTTAGCTAGTTTTCGCCCATTTATTTCAAGAGTTAGATCAAGGTTACTGTTGCCGATACAAATCCAGCCGCATTTGTCAATGTTAAAATTTAGACAGGATTCAGCACACCATGTTGCAAGACTACTTAGTTCAAGATGTATTTTAGTAACCATATCGCTTAATTCATGAGTGTAGCAGGAGTAGACGACTTTGAGGTCGTCAGCATATAGGAATGGTTTACCTGAGGTGAAGCACTTGCAAATGCTGTTAATGTAGACTGTGAATAAAAGTGGACCTAGGACACTACCTTGCACGACCCCACTTGAGATCTGCCTAGGATGAGACAATACAGATCCAACTTTGGTTATTTGTACCCTGTTGCTTAGAAATGATTTTAACCAGTTCAGTAATGGGTTGCGAATTCCACAAGAGTACAGCTTCTCAAAGAGAATACTGTGAGATACCATGTCAAATGCCCTAGATATATCGAAGTAGAGAACAACGACTAGCTTACGTGCTTCGCGACTACTAGTGATGCAGTTGAAAAAGTCGAAGTGGCAAGTAACGCAGGATCTATTTTTGAGAAATCCGTGTTGAGACCTTGTAACAAGATCTTCCCTAATTAGGTAGTCTGACAATTGATCTTTTACAACTTTCTCCATGATTCGTGAGATAACTGGGGTTATATTTATGGGTCTGTAATTGCGGACGTTTGCCCTATCACCAGATTTGTAATGTGGAATTATGAAGCTAGTTTTCCACTCACTAGGGTAAGTGCCAGTGTCCATAGATATTGAGAAGAATTTAAGAAGTAACAAGGGTATATCACACCCACTGTTTTTGAAAATTATCGAAGCGAGGCCATCCGGTCCCGTACTAGTGGAAGGTTTAAGGCTTTTAATTGCTTGTACTATTAACTGATTAGTGAACACAATGCTTTCAAGGGAAGAGATAGTAAGGGGAGCGGTTTCACCAGGCATATGTGTTTCTAAACTAAAGTTTGCAAACCAATCACTGAAGAGTTCACAGATAGTGGCAGGTTCATTGTAGATTACTTTGTCGTGAAGTAAGTATGGGATTTCCCTCGCCGACTGCATTCGTTTTTTAAGAAGTGCCGTTAAGTTATAAACTTTGGAGGTACTTTCAAGTGCCGTTAACTCTTCGTCGAGGTCCTTTTGAGAGCGTAGGCGCTTGAGAGATTCAAGAGACTCGTGGATTGAGAGCAATAGTGATATGTCCTTAGTGGAATAGTACTGTTTCTTCAGTTTCCTTAACTTATTACGGTGTGCCCTTGGAATATATTCAGTTCGGTGTCTACTTAATTTCACTATTTTCTTTGGAGCAACTGTATCTAGACAAAGGGTAACATTCCTGTAAAACAGGGTTACTAAGGCCTCCAGGGAGTCAGTGGTAAAATAGTCATCCCATTGACAGAGTCGAATAAGTTCTTGGACTAATCCCCAGTCTGTATATTTGTAACTACGACATATTGTGCTTCCTGAGTCTTGTTTGTTTCCTGTATTTAGTGGTGAGAAAGGCAGAGAGCAGAGTACCATTCTATGGTCACTACTGGAAAATCTATTACCAACAAAAGTGGATACTGGGATTGTGTCATGACAAAAAACAAGGTCCAACATGTTGTCACCACGAGTAGGTGTCTGGACGTGTTGTTGCCATCCATAACAGTCTATAGTGGCAAGTAATTCGTCGAAGCGTTGGGGGCCGGAACTAGTTAGCCAATTGACTTCTGGAAGATTGAAGTCCCCTGCAATTATTTTGTAATTAGCACTAAACGAGGATGCGTGTGCAAACGATTTAGCTAATAACGCATCAGTTTCTTTTGTTGAGCTTGGTGCTCGATAAACACAGCCTATGAGAAGTTTGTACTTATCTCCATGTAAGACAACCCAGAGTGAGTCAGGTACATTATTCATTGTTTCATCTTCCACCTTACTGACTACAAATGAGCTATGTATATATATGAGACATCCTCCACCACGCTTGCAATCTCTGTTTGCACGGTGTACAGTGTAATCATCGATACCTATATGCACATCAAGTACAGAGGATGAGCACCATGACTCAGTAATCAGAGCTACAGTAGGCTTGGCGACTAATAATAATGTCCTTAGTTCAGATATCTTATTGATTAAGGAACGTGCATTAATTAGCAATATCGTGAATAAGTCACGGGATACTACAAACTGGCTTAAAATGTCACCATAACCTAAATCTATTTGTGCGTCAGCACCGCAAGAATTTATGAATGAAAAGGAGGTCGGACTGGGTGTCTGTACATCGGGTTGGAGTGCAATGAGGTGGTCCTAGGTGCCATGGGTCGTACCAGTGATTCGGGACACCTGGAAAATTTACCATGTGTTCCTGGATATAAGGGTAGTACAGGTTGGGCCTAGGTTGACGGTTAAAAGGCATAGCATCAGAAGGTCTACCCATCCAACTGCTATTCGTCATACCGGTATACACCTTCGGGTTGTTTTTATAACTTAAAGGGAATTGTGAAGGAAGGTGCTTTGGCTGCAAGACTTTAGGAGTCTTGGAGCCTGACTTTCTATAAGGTGGAGCATGCGGAACACCTCCAGATGTACTTATGTTTCGAGAGGAGTTTTTCGTAACAAGTGATGGTTTGTTGGCATTCTTACTCTCAGCAGGCTTATTGAATACAAAGTATTCTTCCCCATCATTAGTCTCAACCCTGCGAAATTTGTTCATCGTGGTGAGGTTACTACGTTTGGGGGGAAATTTCTTAGAACAACTTGCAGAAGTTCTAGTCATTTTAACATCTTTCGATGAGGCTTTTTTTACAGGGGTACTGGTATCTAAATCAGTTCCTAGTTCCATTGGCAGGTGTGGTTGTTGTGTAGTTTGCTGAATGCTAGTTTCAGCACTAGGTGTCTGTTGCTGTGCACGATCCTTATTTGGTAAATCAAAGCTAGAGGAGGTGACCAGGTTATTACTACGCATTATTCTGCGCTGACACGGTGTTTTATCCTGAGCTACGGTTATAGACTTATAACTGCTATTCAGTCTTAAGTGATCCTGACATTTAGTAAACTTACTAGCATCAAGGGAATTACTGAATTTAAAAATGATTGGGCAATTAGCCTGGTTAGACTTTTTACGAAGTCGTTTGCATTCACATGGAACACTAGCCATGCCGCAACAAATCAGGATTTTGTGTCTTACAGTTTTCAGGGGCAGAGAATCTGGGACGTTGTAAACTATAGCTTGGTGAGAAGAGGTTATACGCTTCATCACCTCCGTAGCCAAGCAGTCAATCAGATTTTCAGCTTTATTTAGGTTGTCTGGAGATATTTTAGGATGCCTTTCTAAAAGACAGGCTATTGGGTCTAAATTCAAAAGCTTATTTTGAGTTACATCCAGTAAACACTTAACCTGGCCAATATCAGACCGGCTCTCCGTGGTATTTGAGATTGGCAGTGACATACTATCAAACTGATCTAATTTTTTCTGAATTTCACTTACTTGCCTCTGCATATCTTTCAAAAGGAGGTTTAGTTTACAGAACTCAGAGTTCTCTAACAGAACATCTTTCACCTGTATCACAGGAGTGAGATCTGCACTCAAACCATTTTGAGAGCTAGTAGTTGATACTGTATTACCAGGCGGTAATGCAGTTATAACCGAATTTAAGCCACTATCTAAAACAATTGTGTTTCTACGAACACGTTTTTTAGAGATTTGGACCATAATTTCAAGAATTATATGACAATAAGCAGTAAATAAATTTCAGAGCAAACACGTGCAAAAATGTCACCAATTTCGAACGTACCGCCATGCACTCTTACGACTGGAATCTGGTGGTGACTGCTAGTCAGCGGATATGATGGTGGGGACATATGAGAACCACCCTTATCTGTGGGACAGCACTCTATTGCTAGGGCTCCTGAGTTCGAATGGATTCTGCAAAATGAGAATAAATAAAAAAGTAAAAATTAAAAAAAGAATGAAAAAAAGAAATAGAAGTTGAAAATTGCCTAGAGCCGAAGTTTAAATGTAAACTCCCGAATGAAAGTAAATGGTATGAGTCCGCTACTTCAGAAGGACACCGAACTGTGTACTTCAGAAAAACATATATTACTTGGCCCTCGCTTTTCTTTTACATACCTAACGCACTCTGACTTTTATGTTCAACTCCTTTTAAACCTCGTAAGTAGGTGAAATTATCACCTGTCTTTCACTTAAACTAATTGTTCGCAGGAAAGACTGTAGAATATCGGGAAAATAATATTTCTTAAAAAAAACAATAAAAATAATGATGAAACCCATGTCTGTTATATATTTTGAATTATTAACACCTTTTATATACTTCTGCACCTCTCTGTCGGTTTTCTTGTGTTTTCTTCTCTTTTCAAAGGTACTGCCTTCAACGAAGGTACTGATACAGCGTTGCTATTCTCCATTTATTCGTGATATTGCTAGCTCATCTGGTAAATAACGGGACCACCTATATTATAAAATCTGCTGACAAGTTCAAAGTCGGTCTCATAGACAAGTGGAAATGTCACGAATATGGTGTACTTACGGGTGAATTGAAGTTTTATAGACTGAAGAACTTTATGAATCATTTGCTGATAATTATTGTTTATTCTGCGTCTCTTATATATAACGTCAGTATCTGTACAAAAATGCTACTTACCTTCCTCAACTAACGCAATCATTTATGATTCCCGCGTGAAATTGACATGTATTTTTTCCATGAGCGACTTTATTGCATATCCCCTCAATGACGCTTGTTGCTATGTTGCTATTGGTTTCAAGTGACCTTGGTTTTGGAAGAAGATTTAACTGATGTAATATCGCGATTTCATAGACATAACTCAGGCTCATAGATGAAAGAAAGTTATAATCCTGGAATAAGAACAAGTTGTTCATAAGGCAAGGAGGACATTATTTTTCAGTTTATTTGTATATATACTATCGTGCATTGAGTTGTACTGAGTTCTTAGTGCAACTGTATGTAACTTCATTTACATAAAGTAAAACATTACGAATACTCCTGTTTTTAGAATAAAAAACGTGATTATTTCCATTAATTTTAGCACTGAAGAATGGAATTTCTTCCACGTCAGTGTTATTTAATTGAAGTTTTAATCTCTGTAGGCCCTTAAAGGTATAAATTCGGCACGGAGAAGTGCTATGGAAACCGAAAGTACTTTTAGTTTACTAAATCTTACTGACTTCCCGTATAAATTTGATATCTGTCAAGTGTTTATGAAAAGTCTGCAGCAGTTATTCAGCAAAGTAAATGTTGTAGTGCATAATTACTAGACTTGCTGTGTGGAGTCCTCAAAAATCAACTTATCCAAATTTTACTACTATGTAAATAATGAACATATTGTACACCACTTTGTTTTAACCAGAAACTCTGTACTTTGACTTTACCTCGGGTTTTGAATAAATATATAGTTGTGCCTTCGACTCTCCGTCTTCTCCACCATCTCAACTGCCGTCGATCAATTTTAATCACCTGCTTTCTATCTCTGATTTTTGCAGGAGCACCGTAGTTTCTTCCTACGTACTTTGGTCGACCTCCGGCAACGTTAACATTGGAGAATTACTACTGGAGCAGTCTTTCCGCAGCACCTGGAGTCTATTACGTTTATTGTGGACTGTGGACCTTTGTAAACTCAAGTAATCAAACTTTAATACATTCTTCCCGTAACTAAACTCATTTGGTATTTTATTTTCTACTTGAATTTGGGTAACTAAGCTAATAGAGTGAAAAGGTCCACCACAATAATTGGTGAGCCCGTTTCGAACCCTTTTTTATGGTTAACCCGTTTTCGAACCTTTTTGTTTCGATAGTTACCTCGTTTTGAACATTTTTGTTGCTATTTTGTCCTTATAAACTCGCACTGCTTTAATTTTTGTTACCACAAGTTTTTCTATTTTGTATATCTATATACTTACATATTATATGACAATGGCTCCACCTAAACGTACCACTGTTGCTGAAGAAGGTAATAAAGGCGAAGAGACACAGAACTCTGCTGTTAACGCCTTGCCGGATTTAAGACTTCCTCAATTTGATCTGGCTGAACCACGTGTCTGGTTCACAATTATTGAACAGTTGTTTGCAGCTCGAGGTATTACGTCGCAGATCGCCATGTATGGTTGCGTATTAGCAGCAATTCCCACGGAAGTACTACGAGAGGTTATCGATGTCATAGACAGCAAACCTACAGACTCTCAATATGACAAACTAAAAGCTGCACTCATCCAGCGGACCACTCTCTCCGATGAGAAACGCATACAACAACTACTTACTTCGTGTGATCTAGGTACAAAAAAGCCATCTCAACTACTTAGACATATGCGCCAGTTGATTGGGTCACACAAAGTAGATGAGTTAATTCTACGTCAGATGTTCTTACAACGTTTACCACAAAATGTTCAACAAATCCTAACAATATCTTCTAGGACGACAGACCTTGAAGAATTAGCTAAAATGGCAGACGATATCATGGATGTGTTATCAAATAATGGCATAAATAGCGTGTCTACCGAGGCAGTACCACCAAGCCCTTCCACATCTATGAAGGACGCACCAATGTTTTGGTTACTTTCCCAGTTAACATCTCAAATGCAAGATTTACGACTGGAAGTGTCCGAGCTTCGAGCACAAAGGAACCAGTCACATACTGTATCCAAGCAACGGCGATCAAGATCTAGACGACGTTCTAGAACACCGTCTCAAAGCCGTAACATTTGTTGGTATCATAGGAGGTATGGGCATAATGCCCTGAAGTGTATTCGACCGTGTATGTACAACAGTAGTAACTCATCTCAGGGAAACTCCCCAGCCAGACAGTAATGGCGACGGCTGTTAATGGCAATCACCCCAGTCGCCTTTTCTATGTGAGGGATTTGACTACCGGCACATTATTCCTGG